CAGAATACCAATGTCCAATTTTGCCTTTCCCTCCAATTTCCAAGATTTAGACTTTAAAGCGTTACAGAAACAGACAAGAAAGGAAGTCATTCTGCCTGGGAGGGGAGTGAGGAAGTGGCATGAGACTTGAAGGAGGAGTAAAAGTTCACTAGTCACAGGAGAAATATTGCAGGCTGAAGGACTCACATAAGCAAAGACACCATGTTGAATTCCATGGAGAGAATTGTTGGGGAACAATTAGATATGGCTGTTGTGGAGGTTGACTGTGGGAAATGGTAAGAGATGAAGCAAGAAAAGTTAGCTGAGGTCAAATTATAAAGAGCTTTTGTTTTGGCATAAAATCAGCCAATGCTTTATCTAAAGAGACATAGAAAGGGAATTAGAGGCTGCTCCAATTACTCATGCAGGAAACAATGCAATTACTTGTAAAAGGGTGGAAGATTTGAGGATGACGTTAAGGCTAACAGCTATTTGGCAGGAACAGGATGGAGGATAAGAGATAAAGGGTAAAGGCTAGAGAAAAAAGAGAAAGGAGAGAAATCCCATTCAGATCTAAGTAATAGATTCCAGTACCCTAGACAGGGGGTTCTGTGGTGAGCTGGGCTCTGTCTCCCCAGACAGTCTCCACATCAGTCTGAAGTTGGCCATCTCCTTTCAGTGGAGTAGAGGGTGCTGGGAGCACAGAAAGCTCTAGAAATCAGGGGATTGGTTAATATGAGGGCACAGCAGCAAAAGGAGTCAAAGAAGTGATGAAGGTGGAGGCAAAGAAGTAATGAAGGTTGCAAAGAACCCAAAGAGGAACATGCAGAGCTGGGTGAGATCAGCCTCAGTGGGCTAATTAGACTCAGCATTGATGTTAGTTCAAAGTAAATGCAGGTCTTACAGGTCAAGGACTAGAAGATGCAGCCACAAAGAGGAAATAACAGTGGATACCAACAACCTTAGATTTCCCCTCTCAGGATACTGAGGCAGGAAAGCAGAAGGCTCAGATAGTTGGAGAAGAAAAAGGAGGGGTCACTGTCCTCACTAGCACAGAGCAGTGGTCAAGGCCAGAAGTTAAATGTAAGAAACATAATAGAGCAAAGCAAATTATTTTCTCCCAACTTCAGGCTAAGGCGGCCAAGCCATTTTCTCATCTTTATTATCACAGCACCTTCATCACTTCTTTGACTCCTTTTGCTGCTGTGCCTCCATATTAACTGATCCCCTGATTTCTAAAGCCCTCGGTGCTCCCAGCACCCTCCACTCCACTGAGAGGAGATGGCCAACTTCAGATTGATGTGGAGACTGTCTTGCTGGAGAGACAGAACCCAGCTCACCACAGAACCCCTTATCTGGAGTACTGGAATCTATTACATAGATCGGGACAGGGCTTCTCTCTCTTTTCATCCCCCCACCCCCCGCCCAGCTTTTCCCCTTTACCGCTGAATAAAATGGCCACAGCTGGCCACTGTGGGTCAGTCAAAACTGTGACTATCCCCAAAATGACCTTGATTTTTCCATCTGAAATTTTTGGTCACAAGAACATGAAGATTTCCACTTGAAGTGTGGCCCATGGCTCATCTATGGGTGCCTAGCTCTCCTTGGGATCACAAAGAGTAAAGCAAAACTCAGACCAGGTGTGGTCAGTGAGAGCAGAGAGGCCAGGTTTGTCCCTCTGAATCCTGAATCATTGGGAGGTGGGGAGGGAGCAGGTACCTGCAAGGTCAGGCTGAAGGGCTCTGCAGACAAGCTGTTTGGAAACACCCAGACCCTTGGGGCAGCAGCAGCTCTGGAAGCAGCCCAAGGCCTCCTGCCCATTGCAATCCCTCTTAGCAACTCTCCAGTATTTCTTTAGACTTTATTAGTACTGAATGAAAATTTCATTGTAAAATTAACATAAGTGTGATATAAATAATCAATGCCACCATGCAAAAGTTAATTGCAATAACAATCTGAGTTTTCTTCCACTGGATCTTACCCTCTTGGTTCAGAGTTTCAAAGTTAGGACTCACGGTACTTAGAGAAGAAAATCAGCCAGAACACATTTATCATAAGACTTGATTTGAAAATGCCAGGCATGAGAAGTTTCTGAACGAGCATTCTAACATGGAGAAGGAGCTTAAGTAAGGCGGTAGTTTTCATAAGGCTCTAGGAGGAGGAGTCAGCCGAAGTTCAGCTAGTTCCTAGAATAGTTCAAAGATGATTCTCAGGAATAGGAGAAATTATTCTAAAGGCTAAGCAGCTATTTTGGGGCTAATTGGAATTTTATCATGGGGTAGGGAGAAATAGTTAAGGGCTAAAGTCCTATGGAAGAGAGGTGGGGAAGAACAGATAGTGGGGACAAGGACAGAGGAAAAAAATCTTTTACTATCTCTTCCGTGGGTCAAATGCAAATCCACATCCCATAGTTGCCTAAGTCTTTTCCCAATTTGGTAGGTGATTGGAAAACAATCATAGGTGAGCCCATCTATGGAAGAAGAGATTAAGATAAGTACAGACCTGGACAGGACAGCAAAATTGGAAGATTTTACCACTTTACCCCAGGAAAACGATATAATTTCAGTTGGAGGAGAGGGGTGTGTGTGTATGGGGGGATTGGATCCTAGTTATACTGACTTGCAGCTATATAAAACCAGTTGCCACAAGTCCATTCCAACTCATGGGGACCTCATGTGTGTCAGCGTCGAACCATATTCCGTAGGATTTTCAACGACTGATTTTTCAGAAGTAGATTGCCATGCTTTTTGTTTGAGGCACCTTTGGGTTGACTCCAACCACCAACCTTTCTTTTAGCAGCTGAGTGTGTTAACCATCTGCATCACCTAGAGACTCTAATTTGCAACTATACAACAACCAAACCAACCCACTGCCACAGAGTTGATCTGATTCATAGCAACCCTACAGGACGACGTAGTAGAACTGCCCCATAGGGTTAACAAGGCTGTAAATCTCTATGGAAGCAGACTGCCTCCTTTTTCTCCCATGGTGCTTTCAAACTGCTGACCTTTGTGTTAGCAGCCAAATGCCTTAACCAGAGCTCCTTCCTGTAGCTGTGCTATTGTTGTTAGGTGCCGTCGAGTCAGCTCTGACTTAGAGCAACACTGTGTACAACAGAACGAAACACTGCCTGGTCATGCACCAGCCTCACAATCCTTGCTATACCTGAGCTCATCGTGGCAGCCACTGTGTCAATCCATCTTGTTGAGGACTTTCCTCTTTTGCATTGACCTGCCACTTTACCAAGCATGACATCCTTCTCAAGGGAATGGTTCCTCCTGACAACATGACCAAAGTAGATGAGATGAAGTCTGGCCATTCTCACTTCCTAGGAACTTTCTGGCTGCATTTCTTCCAGGACAGATTTCTTCTTTCTTCTGGCAGTTCATGGTGCTTTCAGTATTCTTCTCTAACACCACAACTCAAAAGCATCAACTCTTTTTTTCTTTTTTAATTGTCTTCCTCTTCTTCAGTGCCACTGTGTTGATCACTCACTTTTAGTACATTGCCCTTCCCTTCACCCAAATCAATACTTGTCTCTACCTCTCTACTTTTGTTCAGTCTTCTTTATACATTGATTCATTGTCCAGCTTTCACATGCAGATGAGGCTATTGAAAATACCATGACTTGGGTTAGGGGCAACTTAATCTTCAAAGAGACATCTTTGTTCTTCAGCACTTTAAAGAAGTCTCTTTTTTTTGTGTAGTTTTTATTTATTCATTTATTTATTTTTTATTAGGATTTGGGTGAAGATTTACAGAGCAAATTCACCTTTCACACAGCAGTCCACATATACCTTGTTCCATGTCATTGACCAAAACCCACAATGCAGCAGCTCCCCTCCCACTTCCTCCCCACAGCTACCTCCTCCCAGTGTCCATCCCTTCATACTCTTCTGCACCCTGAGCTATCTCCCTGTGCACAAGCAGCCCTTCCCTCTCCCATGACTGCTCTCTCCAGGGCGTGCGTCCACCTGAGGTAAATGTTTAACTCACATGCCTGTACTTTGTTTGGCTGGAAACCACAGTTGTGGGTTCAATTCCAGACCCGAAGGGCAGCTAGGGGCCATAGTCTCAGTGGTTACATAAAGAAGTCTTTTGCAGCAGATTTGATGAAGGGAATTCTGTGACTAGTGATTGAGAAAACTCAAGGACTTCCTTATAAAGAGTTTCATTGCCTGATGGCTTGGCCTTGGAAGCACGACTCTATCAATAATTATTAGCTATCTTCTCTTAATAAAACTTCCATGTGCTCCATCCTGAGATTGCTCAGCTGCTGCTCTGGGTCCCCAGGCCTAGCCCATTGTACTTCTCTCCTCAAGAACAATCTCGCTCTGTGCACTGGCTATTCAGAAATAGGAATATAGCGAGTTTTCCTTTTTCCTGCTGTGCCTTTAAGAGCTGCAGGAATGCAAAGGGAGTCTGAAGGAGGGGTGGGGTCTCTAAAAAGGACTTCTGGGAAAGGGATCCTGGGAATTTTTGCCAGAAACTAAACTGACATTCCAACAATGAAAAGTTGGGGTGGTTCGTGTTGGATCAGGCCTGTGATTGGACTGTGGAATCTACAAGGGAGGAGGAAAGAAAAAGTAAAAAGAAACGGCTGGGGGAAGAAGAGGTAGGGGAAGCCCTACCCCCCCTCACCCTGACCCCTCCACACACACACACACACACACACACACACACACACACCTGGAAGAAGCCGTGCAACTATAGCCTGGAGGGCAACTGTGTGTCAAGAGTGGTGGCAACAGATGCTGGACCCCGGAAGCTCTCTGCACCAAATCTGCCTGCAAGGCCTCCAGGGCCTAACTTGCCAACAGCTGGACTTGATCACCAGCTTGCAAACTGAGATCATGCATCTGGTAAAATAACAAGCAGACTTTGCTTTCTGGCTGTACAAGACATTGTTTTGAGAGGATTTGCCATAGCAGAGGAGCGAAGGGCAGAAGCAGGAGTTGCCACCCCCTGGGCCCTCGGTTCTTCTACAGCACAACAGATTCCACCCCCAGGTGGTTTTTAGGATGATGATGGCCCTGAGGGGAGCCTTTGCTTTCCTGATTTTGTTCGTCACAGCATTTCTGCCTCCGCCACAGTGTGCCCAAGACCCAGCCATGGTGCACTACATCTACCAGCGCTTTCGAGTCCTGGAGGTAGGTGGCATCTGTGTGCACATTATGTGGGGATCATGGTCTCCAGAAGTCATCTTATTACCCACGCTTCCCTTATCTACTGGAATGTATGTTTTCCAGACAGGAAATGATCAACGAGGAGTTCCTGGGTGCCACAAACAGTTAAGTGCTCAATGACTAGCTTAAAGGTTGATAGTTTGAACTCACCCAGAGGGTCCTTGGAAGACAGACCTGGCAATATGCTTCTGAACGTTCACAGCCTTGAAAATCCCGTGGAGCAGTTCTTCTCTACACGTGTGAGATCTCCATGAGTCAGAATCAACTCCACAGAAACTAACAACAAATAATAAACACACTGCTAAAGTTATACTTTAAAACTTTTTCATAGGCTGGTGTTTAGAGCACCAAACCAGAGTCCAGGCCCCACAACTCCCAGATCTGGGGTAGAGGACTTTCTTATCTGGAAAATGAAGATAATAATAGACTTTATCTCGTAAGGCTATCTGAAGATTTAATAAATTAATCCATATTTAGAACATTGCCTGGCATGGGGTAAATTTCCAAAATATTGTTACCTTTTAATAATTTCTTAAAGTAGAAAAGTTAAACTTGGTGTCACTCTTCCTGTGTCACTATATCAGGACAATAATGGATTTTAGTTATTATTATTATTATTGTTTTTTTATAATCAACTGTTACGTCTCCACAAAAACCAAACCACCCACCATAGGGTCAATTCCAACTCATTACAACCCTATAGTACAGTGTAGAGTAGCCCCATAGGGTTCCCAAGGCTGTAAATTTTCACCTAAGCAGACTGCTGTGTCTTTCGCCTATGGAGTGCTGGTGAGTTTGAACCAACTACCTTCCTGTTAGCAGCTGAGCAGTTTAACTACTGAGGCACCAAGGTGCCTGAACTGCTAGGTCAGTGTCAAAAATGATATCAGAAAACTGAGAAACTAAGTCTTAGCTGCTTTTGCCAAACTGGTGATGTTAAACAGAGAAAATGTTCAAGCTCTCCCACCTGTGTGTTATAGCTGCTGCCTCATAAAAATTTGCAAAATCAAGCATTGTTAAGGCACAGGCAGGCTCCCTGGAAGCCTTTGCCTCACCCTTGGCAGTGACATTAACTATTTCATACTTAATACTTTGCTTCTGTGTATGTTAAATTCTGATAAATTATGTGTCTTCTTTCAAAGACACCCTTATCTCCAACATGTATTTTCTGTGTTTTCCTGAAAAACCTTAAAGCCTAAATTATATGGTCATCTAGTTACAGTCATAATAAAATGATTCCACAGTGCACACTGAGAGCATTTCCTAATGTCCAGCTGACAGACCGAGGGTGGGAGCCAGTAAATGGAATACTCCAGGACAGGTGGCCTCTTGCTGCTGCTTCACTTGCCTTCTCACAGCTCCCTTCTCCCTCAGCCACACCTCCATCAAAGTGACAGAGTCATGTCAATCTTGGTCCCTCTGAGTTTAATAACAACTTGCCCTTGTTGTTACGTGCCATCGAGTTGGACCTGACTCACAGTGACCCCCCCGCCTTGGGTTTCTGAGGCAGTAAAAGTAGATTGCCCACTTCCAAGGAGTGCCTGGTGGGTTTGAACCTCCAGGCTTCTAGTTAGCAGTCAAATGCCTTAGACACTACGCTACCAGAGCTCTAAATCCCTCCAAGTTTTCCTCAAGACCCTAAGAGTTTATGTCCTGCATATACATCTGCAGACAGAGATATAAAGTGCACTCTAATACTTTCATAGCCTTGAATGTGGATTTTAAAAAGACGGGGATATGATCTGTGCACTTCTTCCTATCCTGGTCATGGCATGGAGGTGAAGCTGAGGCCCAGGCCACAGTTGCTGTTGATTAATGTAGATACATAAAATCCAAGTGATGCAATCCCCATTGTGAGGGGTGTGAGTTTTAGGAATAAGAAAGAGAAAATAGGGGTTTAGGAAATTATTCTCTCTCTCTGAGGTCAAAAGAAAGTCTTATGTACTGCTGTCTGGCATACAAATGTTTACAACTTTTGTGCGGAATGTTCCTAAACTGTGTCAAATGAGTGCTAAGTATAAAAATACCCTTTGACCCAGTCATTCCATTTACATTCTTCATTCATTTGTCCTTTCATTCACAAAATATTTATAAAGTACCTACTATGTGCTAGGCCTGTACCAGGTGCTAGGGATACAGCTTACTTCTGGAAATCTATCCTAATAAAATAACCAGATAAGTATGTGAAGCCGTAAATACAAGGATATTTTTTCAGCATTGTTTGAAGGGTGAAACAGGAAAAAAAAAAAAAAAAAATCCTACATAAATGTCCATTAAAAAGTCCTAATAAAATAAATAAATAATAATTCCACAGAATGCTTCATGGTCATCAAAATTATGTCGCAGCTATCTATTGTTACTAAAATATGTTCACAGCATACCAGCAAATTAAAAATATATTTCTTAACATACATAGAGTAACACCATATTTTATAAAATGTATATTTATCTATGGGTGCCTGTTTTCAAGGAATTTTTTTTTAATGTTTATATACCAAAGTCTCTTTGAATGGAGGAATTATGGGTGATTATAATTTTTCCTCCTTTTAAATTATTAACAAATTAAAATTATTTTTCTATGAATGATAGCTATTTATGTTATTTGGATAATTTAAATAACTAGAAATAATTGACTTGAGAATTTATTTTCTGACTGAAGCAAGGGCTGGAGAAATGTACCCAAACCACAAGGGCATACATTCAAGAATTCCAAGATTTCTCAAAAAACATATCTCTTATGCTGGGAAGATGTTTCACCCACACAAATGAGTATAAGAGTGCAGTAGATAAACTGGCAACAAGAGTTGAACGTGCCCAACGAGAGATCGATTACCTAGAGTACCTCCGCGCATCTGACGTGTGCGTTGAATCAGAGGACGAGACCATGGCAGACAAGCTAATGCAAGAAGCTGAAGAAGAGAAGAAGATCCGGGCGCTACTGAATGCAAGTAAGAGAATTCTGCCTTTTACTCCCCCTCCTAGGGACTCTCCCACTCAGAGAGTTGCAGACTCTGTGCAATTAGGGAGTCTGACCAAGTATGGGAGTCAAAACTCGACATGTGCTCTCTAGTGTGCATGTGCTGAGGGAGGAAATTTATCTGAGAACAGATGGCAGAAGGAAAATCCATTCTCAAAACACTACTTTTCCTTTCGTGGGGAGTTGCCAAAGACCCCATGGAAAGTCAGGGCTACAGGGTGTCAGAGTTCAGTCCAAGGAGGACACCTCCCAAAAGGCCTTGCTTTGGTGGAGGTATGTGGTCCTAGATCATTCCAGGGAGAGTGACAGGTTATAGTAGATTCCACATCTAGCACCCTGGGAGTAGGGAGCTGCTGCACATATGCCAAGTCACAGTGTGAAATTCAAAATGTCAACAGCCAAGCCTAGGGTCTGGACTGCAGTGAATTGTTATAGTATGTGCTCTCTGGGATGGTGTTATCCAAAGGATTTGTTTCCAAATGTGTGGTCCATTAGAATCATTTCCAGGCCATTAAAAATAATGTCTAAGAGCTCAAATTATAACAATAACTATCAAGCAACAAAAACAAAAATGAGAAATACATTTTCCTATGCATGAATGCATTTCATTAAAACAATGAGGGAGACAAGTCCCCTACCTCAGAGTCTATATGCTGAGATGGTGTCACTGCAAATAGGAAGCCTTTGTATGCTAGTGCAAGAAACTCCATCAGGAAAGTAAGACATAAACTGAGTGCCATCATTGTACTCAGAGTGTCACATGTGATCTCATGGGATCTTATAAGTACTCCCTGGGCCCTTATAAGAAGAAAGGTCTTCCTAAAAAAAAAGGTGATACTTGATCTGAGTTTTGAATAAAGAAGTTAGAGTGGAGAAGATGGGATAGAAGTACTTCAAGTGAAGGCACAACATACCAAGTGCCTGAGAGTATGTAACACCTGTATATGTTTGTAGATTTGCAAACACGGCTAAGTGAAAGCTGTATGGGCAGGGGAGGTTGAAGAGTTTGACATGACTCTGATAATGAGTGCAAGGCTAAGGAGGTTGAACTTTACTAGAGAAACTGTAGAGAACCACTGAAATATTTTCAGCTAGGGCATGACATGATGGAAGAGGGCAAGAATAGGAGATTATTGTAGTATTTTGCACAACAATTTAGTATCAGTGGGACTGAGAAGAGCAGATGGATTTAGCACCATTGAGAGTTGGAATTCATGTGACTTGATGATTGATAAATGTGAAAGATGCCAGAGAGAGCTTCCTAGGTTTTTGGCTGAGGTGATTGTGAGTTGATGTATAATTCACTGGGATAGTAAACCCAGGAGGAGGGGCAGCAGTGTTTATGTTTTCAGAGCACTTATTACTCTGAAATTTTCTTGTTCTTTTGTTTGCCTGCTGCTTATTTTCTGCTTCCTCTTCTAGAATGCTAGCTTTATGAGAGCTTGAACCCTGCTTTCCTTGTTCAGTGCTATGTCTATGTTCAGTAAATATTTGTTAGTGAATAACTGAACAAAAGAATGAATGGATGAAAATGAAAAGATTGTCAGCACAGACAATTAGTCCTTGACAGAAAAGAGAACATTTTGTCATCTGAGTCAGAAAACAGAGAGGAGATACTTTATCTATAATATGAAACGGTTGGCCAAGGTAATCTGAATGATTCTTTTCAACCCTGAGGGTGTCTGACTAAATCTAGAGATGACCCATTCTCTGAGAGGGGGCGTCCAAGGTAGGATTGAAGTGAGGGAAGGAGAGGAACAAAAATTGGCTGGGGGAGAGGATTGAGTGCTAGTAAGACTTGAGCTAGAATGTGCCTGAACTTCTACTTCAGGGCTCAGGCAGGTTAAACCTGAACCCTGGTGTTGGATTGGATCCCTGAGCTGCTTAATAGACTAGATGCTCAGTCTGCTCACTGGACACATTCAGCCCCTCATGCCTGTTCTTTGCTCTCTCTTTCCTTGGCATCCTGTTTTTCATTGTCTTGATCCCTACAGCCCTCAGAAGGGACAGCCTCAAATTTATCCCTTCCCACTCCAGCAAGAACCCAGGGAGGTCCTAAGAATGGGCTTTCTGGTTTTTCAACCCCTATCATCTGCTGTATCCCTCAGACCCTGGAGACCTGAGATACTTCCTGTCCTAAGTCCATGGTGAGTGAAAACTTCTCTTTCAACCTGTCAGAGGTTGCTGCTTCTGTGCCTGTTGCTTCTGGGATGCTCTTGTGATGGTTTGCCTATTTATGAGTCAACAGACACTCATTGCTCCTCACTATTGGGTGGGCTTAGTGCTACCTGGTGAGGATAGAGGGCAAAGTAAGATATGCCTGCATCCTACGCTAGTTTTGTTACTGATCATCTTATGTCTGGTTTTGCCTCCTACAATCCATCTACTATTATGTAGACCTTCCCATAAGAAAAAATAGGTATTACTTCTCTATATAAAATATTTTGTTGTTGTTTGCCATGAATTATTAACTAATCAAAAAGTCCACTTAAATCTCTTAGCCTTTTATATAGGAAAGAAACAAAACGGTTGACATCAAGTCAATTCCAACTCATGACAATCCTATGTGTGTCACAATAGAAATATGCTCCCTAGGGTTTTTTTTCCCCCTTAATTTTTTTTTTATGATTTGGGTGAAAGTTTACAGAGCAAATTCACTTTTCATACGGCAGCTCACATACTTTGTCTCATGACATTGACTGCAATTTCCCACAATGCAACAGCTCCCCTCTCTCTTCCTCCCCATAGTGACCTCTTCCCTGTGCCCTCCCATGCACTCCTGCCCTCCCAAGCTCTCTCCCTGTTCATACACAGCCCTTCTATTCTCCATGATTGATCTCTCCAAGGAGTGTATCTGCCTAATGTAAATGTTCAGCTCATATGTCTGTGTTTTGTTTGGCTGGAAGCCACAGGAGTGGGTTCCATAGGAGTTTCAATGATTGATTTTTCAGAAATAGTTTGCCAGGCCTTTCTTTCATGGTATGCCCGGGGGGACTTCAACCTCCAACCTTTCAGTTAGTAGTGGAGCACATTACTTTGTGCCACCCAAGGACTCCAAATAGGGAAAATCCTTCATAAAGTGGCCCAAGCTGATCTCTACCTTCTTCTCCTCCCATAAATCACCCTCATACAGTTACAACTTAAAAAAAAGAAAAAAAAAATCCTACCTACCCTTATGACTCAAAAATGCTTCCTCTGTGAACACCTCTTGGCCTCCCACCAAATAGATTAGCCCCTAGTGCTCTTAGAGCAGCTCATTCAGTAGCCAAGGGAGTGTCTAAGATGTTCTTCAACCAGCCCACGAACATGTTGACATCTTCATTTCTGTTTCACAGAGTCTAGGTCAGGCCTGCCATGAGATATCATAAAAATTGTTTATGGAAGGGTTACTGATGGCAGAGGCTAGTCTATGGAGAGACAAGCCTGTGTAAATAGTTACAATTGTGTGGTTAGTGCTTTCCCGACCTGTTATTTCCTAAAGTTCTCTGCCCAAGAGTGAATGTTGGAATGCCAATTTACTCCCTTCCCTACATGCTGTTTTGTATTTTATATGTTGCGCCTTTCTCCACTCTTTGTTATTTCTGTTAGTAACTGTACCTATATTAGTTTTATATAGCTGTGCAATAAATTACCACAAATGTAGCAGGATAAAACAACACCCATTTATTGTCTCAGAGTTTCTGTGGGTCAAGGATTCAGGCACAACCTAACTTGGTCTTCTGCTCAGGGTCTCACAGGGCTGCAATCCAAATGATGTGGCCAGGCTATGATCTCATGTGGAACTCAGAGCCTTCTCCAAGCTCATTGAGGTTGTTGGTAGAACTCTGTTGTTCATGGTTGTAGCACGAAGGCCCATAGCATCTACCAGATGCCTCTCTCACATGCAGTTCAAAACATGACTGTTTTGGGGGCAGGAGGAGAGTACCCCTCTTTAAAAAGGGGCCAGTTCCTCTTTGAAGAGTTTGTATCTAATTAAGTCAGGCCCACCCACAAGAATCTCTCTTTTGATTAACTCAAAGTCACCTGATTTTGGGACCTTAATTATAGCAAAATCCCTTCACCTTTGCCATATAATGTAACCTGAAGTGATATCTTCTCATATTCACAGGTCTCACTCACATTCAAGGGGAAAGCACATAGGGTGTATACTCAGTGGGCAGGGTCCTTTCAGGCCATCTCAGAATTGTGTCTACCACAATACCCTAGTCTGTTAGGCCCAACCAAAGAACAAACCAAACTCACTGCCAGTGATTTGATTTCAACTCATAGTGACCCCCATTGGGTTTCTAAGGCTGTAAATCTTTATGGAAGTACTTTGTCCTATCTTCCTCCTGTGGAGCAGCTGGTGGGTTTGAATCACTGACCTTCTTGTTAGCAGCCAAATGCCTTACTCACCACACCACCAGAGCTCTGTAGGCTGTTAGACCCAGCTGGTGCTAATTGCCTGTACCTATCCTCCTCCTAGGAGCTCTGATAGCGTAGTGCCTAAGGCACTTGACTGCTAACCAGAAGGCTGGTGGTTCAAACCCACCAGCCACTCCTCAGAAGGAAGGTTGGGCAATCTACTTCTGTAGTGATAATGCCTTGGAAACCCAAGGAAAGGTCACTATGAGTCAGGTCCCACTCGATGGCAAATAACAACAACAACAACAACAATCCTCTTCCTAGAAACCACCTATCTTCCTACCTTCTAACCTTGGCCTGCAGGAACTATGTCAGCAGTAGAACTTACACTAAAACCCTAAAGACCAACCACCCTGGGGTTATGATTTAAGGGGGGATTGCCAGAGGTCAGATCACAGGGTTTTACTCACACATACACATTATCTTAGGAAAGATAGTTTCTTTGGAAAACCTCTAGGGATGCAACATCCTGGGAAAATTCAACTTTGTGTCTCAGGATACTTCCAGAAAATTCTAGCATTAGCCTAAATGATTCTCATTTATCCTAGGGCTATTTCCCAGCAAGTA